CTGGTCCGGACTTGATTCCTGCCACTGTACTGAAGAGATGTGCAGCTGAGCTTGCTCCAGTTCTTTCGCGTCTCTTCCAGATATCTTATGAATCCGGCACCTTCCCAGAAAACTGGAAAATTGCTCATGTACAGCCCATCCCAAAAAAAGGATCTAAAACCGACCCTTACAACTACAGGCCTATAGCTCTGCTTTCTGTTATCAGTAAAGTGATGGAGAGGTGCATAAATCGCGAGCTTCTGGACTACCTCGAACGTCACAGCTTGATTAGCGACAGGCAGTACGGTTTCCGGCACCAACGATCCACAGGGGACCTCCTAGCTTACGTCACGCAACTGTGGAGTAAACTCATCCAGTCTCATGGTGAGGCTCATGTCCTTGCTCTTGACATCACGAAAGCGTTCGATCAGCTGTGGCACGCTGCCCTCTTGAGCAAACTTCCATCCTACGGCCTCCCAGAAAAGCTTTGCAGATGGGTGGCTGACTTTATCTCTGGCCGCAAGATATCCGTCGTAATTGACGGATTCTCCTCTTCATCCCACAACGTCAACGCGGGTGTTCCCCAGGGATCGGTCTTGGCTCCAACACTGTTTCTCTTACATATCAACGACCTCCTTTCCTGCACGATCAACCCAATCCACAGCTTCGCTGATGACAGCACTCTACATGCAGGAATTCAGAGTGACAAGCCGATCTCTGCCGCTGAGCTGGAAAAAAGAAGACTAGCGACGACATCTTCTCTGACAAGAGACCTGGAGGCTATCACTGCTTGGGGACGCAACAATCTTGTACAGTTCAATGCTTCCAAAACACAGTACTGTACTTTGACGAACAAAAAGCGTCCTAGCGCTCATACAGTTTCGATGGACGGTCGAGTTCTACCAAAGAGCCATTCATTTCGGCTGGTTGGAGTCCAGATCACCGAGGACCTGATCTGGCACGAACACATCTCTTCAATAGCTGCAGCTGCTGGGAAAAAGCTAGGCTATTTGTTTAGGGCTAAGAAGTACTTTTCTCCGCATGACCTTCTCACTCTATACAAGGCCCAGATAAGGCCTAGCCTCGAGTATTGCTCACACATTTGGGGTGCTGCCGCCCCGACTACATTGTCCATGCTCGATGCTGTCCAGAGGAGGGCGGTCCGACTGATGGATGACTCTTCTCTAACAGACAGTCTCGGGACTCTTTCGCACCGGCGGGCCGTCGGCGATCTAGCTCTTTTCTATCGCTACACCAACGGGCTTTGCTCCTCAGAGCTCTCTTCCATGATGCCGCCGCGCGATGTGCCTGCCAGACAGACCCGCCTGACTTCGGCGTCCCATCCTAACCGTGTCAAACTTCGTACATCCAGAACTGGCCGATACGACCGCTCCTTTGTCCCGAGGGTGTCTAGATTGTGGAACAACCTACGGAAGGAAGCTTTTCCCAGTTCTACTAATCTTAGGCAGTTCAAAAATCGTATTAACAAAATTTCTTTGGGATCATCATAGCAGCCGCGGTGTTCCGGCATTTAGGCTTCTGCCTGCGCGGCTGTTTCGATATATATAAAAAAAAAAAAAATCTTCAAAGACGAATGATCCAACGATGCCACCAGCCCATAATCCGCACCAAACAGTCACTTTTTCAGGATGGAGAGGTTTTTCATGATATTGGTGTGGATTTTCAGCGCCACAGAATCTGCAATTTTGCTTATTTACGTACCCATTGAGGTGAAAATGAGCCTCATCAGAAAAGAGCACTTTGGCCGAAAATCCGTCTTCTCTTTCCAGCATCCAGTTAACAAAAACTCGCCGCTGTTGATGGTCTGCCGGCTTCAATTCTTGTGTTAGTTGGATTTTGTATGGATGGAGGTGTAAATCAATGTGTAAAATCCGGCGTAAAGTGGTCTCACTAATTCCCAATTGTTGCGAAAGGTGCCTAGTCGAGGTGGTTGGATCTTCTCGCACACTTTCACTCTCTGCGGCTATGTTTTAACGAGTACGAGCTGGACGAGCATGTTGGTATAGTCTACGACCTTCAGCTGAACCAGTTTCCTCAAAACGATTAACAATCCAACGTTGCGGGCTCTGTAGGGCGTCCATATCGGCCAAAGCTAGTGCGAAGTTTGCGAAAAGTATTTTTTATATTTCGACCGTTTTCGTAATAAGTTTGGATAACCAAAATGCGTTGTTGTGTTGTAAACGAATCCATGACTATAAATGGCATACCTTTGACAGTTCAATTATACATACCACATCACTTATGACTCACATGGTAACACATAAACTTATAGGTAAAAAAAAGTAATAGATGGCGCACCCAGTATTACACTAATTTGTAACACTTGCACCTGACTATGGCATTCCACGTTGTTTGAACTGTTTCGACTGTGACTAACGGCTTCCGCCTCCTGGTCGGGCATTTATGTAGTGAATTGACGGTTCCCGAGGGTCTCCAGCATTTGCTAGCAAAAACTTGATTCCTTGTAGATGGCTCTGCTAGCAGCAAGCATGATGGTGTAACTCTGGTTGCCTAACATCGACATCGCGAGGCCGTTTCATGCCACTTCAAGTCCTAGCTACACGAGGGCGAGACAATATTGATGATAATACAATATTTTAAGCGACTTCAACCCCCTCTAAGAACATATCCTTTCCATCTTAAAGGCAATCATGACCTGCATGATGGATAGCTTTAATCGGAATAAGGCAGTACAAAGTGCCATCTATTGTCAGAAACGATCACTGTGAAAGTGAAAACAGCAGCTTCTGTCGGAATCCTAGTTCGCATTGTCAGCCGGGTTACCAATGTGGCCGCTAGATGCTGCCGATTCTGGTGCGATAGTAGATAAGGTTGTCCTTGAACAAACTATAGTAATATAGCTAGTGCTGCATCTGAAGCAACGTCGTAAAGTAGATTTTGGTACACATCAAATGTTCAAAAAGATGGAACTCAAATTGAAATGACAAAATTTTTTCAGCATCGAAGTATACAATGTTGTTGAAAAATTGTTCAACTATTTATATTGGCCTCTATGTCATACCCATTCAGCATCATAATCAACAATGCCAGTTTCATACCTGCAATATATACAATGTAATGAATATAAAAACTAAGATGGGAATAAAGTGGAGCATCCTAGGTCGTATTCTACATTGTGAAACCATAAAGCAAGTCGTGCTCAATTCCGCACGTGTTTGAAACTACTCCGGTAATCGAGTTCTACTCAATAAAATGTTATACAGGATGTCGTCAAAGACTTTATACGGCGTATATAAGATAAGCATTTCAGGTAACGTGAGTCTTAGGATTGGCGAGATGCTAGGCACCGCAAAGTCACTCAAATCAGAATAAAACCTAATCCGGTACTGCACCTCGTTTAGTTCAAACGTAAGCACAAAAACTCAAAAATAGGACACTCATACAACAATATTGATGTTATTTCAATTTACGGTGAGTGTCTTCAGATTGCTACCGAGGCTTGGCGAATGTATGCAGATCGTTTTTCATGATTATTCGAAAAGCTTAAACCGATGCTTGCTTACGTCGAGCACATACATGTGTCTTCGAGTCTACGGCAGACAACTTTGAACAATACTTACGACTTGCACTGGTACAGCTGTACTTAAAATTTCTTTTCGATGAACGGTGATATTTTTTTCACTTCTTTTACTTTCTCGCTGTTGTTTCACCACACATTGGCTGTGATATTCTAAACGTAGTTGTTTCTGAAAAGGGAAGTCATAACTATCAGGACAAACTGTATAGCGGGCCGCAGGTGTGAAGAAAGTCTGTAATACGTCTCATGTTCTTCATTAAAAATGATGTCACTTTGCGTATTGTGTTTCTCTCAAGCCCTTTCATTTGATACACATGCCGTAGCGATGACGATGAAATATGTAAATCGCCATTTTGCCACTATGCTTATTGTGTTTCTCCCATCAAGCCATTTTATTTGATAACCATATTGTAGGGGTTACTATTTAGTAACATCCGCTATATTGGATTCAAAATGGCGCAGCGAAACCATTTTGTATTGTCACGTGAATCAAACGTGCGTACAAAATTTCAGGTCAATTGGTTGAAGTTGACTGGTTCAAAATTCAGTTCCAAGATTTGTCCGACACCCACGTACTAACGGTACATACTAACTCACTAACAAGAAAATCAAATAAACTCTTGTGAAGAAATAGCAATATTCGTAGACAAATCAGAATTAATACTTAGACATACTACTCGCGAGAAAAAAAAATGAATCTGTCCTTACCACGCCTCGGAAATGCAGTCGATTTTGCAGACAATATCCCGCTATTCCACACCAGACTGACTCTGAATAGTGGCAGCGCACCTGACAAAAGAGCTCTAAACCTGATAAATATCCCTAGTTTCCGCCCTATTTTTCACCCGCAACAATCCTGTCACGGACAGAAATGAGCATTTCCAAAATATTTACTACTTGTTTGGTGGAATACAGTTTACGCCATACAGGGTAGTTTATGAAAAAATGTGCGCCAGATAAGAGTAAGCTCTATGACAAATGTTGGACTAAAAGAAATGATAAGACTCAATACCAAGATTCCACAACCTGGCTTCGTCGGTTATATCACAGATAAAGTTCATTTTTTTTCTCTGGAGTATCTATGAAGGCATGGAGCTTTGTAATATATCAGGTAACCAAATAAGCTTGTGTGGTTGCTGTATATCGCACATTGCCATGGTTGTTGTTGATCGATAGCGATTGTTTGTTACCTGTTGTCACTTTAGTATGAATACTTCTTTTCTCACACACATAAAAAGTTTCTGAAAATTGTTACATACCTAGTTTCAATAATTGAAAATAGCGACGAATGAAACACTAATTCGAAGTTGTATGCTGTATGGGTACAAACTTAGTACAAAAGCTACAGCGGCGGCGCAAAAAATATTATGTACCGCATTCGGGGATGATGCCATTAGTGATCGAACAGCACAGATGTGGTTCAAAAAATGTTCTTCGGGAGATCTCAGTTTGAGCGATGAACCGCGCTCAGGGAGACCAAAAATCATGAACAACGAGGATCTTCGACAAGTGGTAGAGGCAAATTCCAGGACAACGTGCCAAGAACTTGCAGAAATGTTCAGAGTCCTGAAACTATTCGTTTGCATCTTCATCCGATAGGAAAGACGTGGAAGTTAAACAAATGGGTCCCACATGAACTGAGAAATGTTAACAAATTAAGTCGTCTTACCATTTGTTCAGCAAACATTTCACGCAACGCTAATGAACCATTCCTTAATCGGTTATTAACCTGCGAAATAGATCTTGTATTCGAATTCTAGGCGTTCGTATCACCTACTGATTCGGTACCACACACGCCCAAGGCTTTCTTGCACCCAAACAAGGTTTTGTTGTGTGTTTGGTGGACAGCAACTGGTATTATCCATTATGAGTTTTTGGAAAGGGGTCAAACCATCACTGCTAACTTGTATTGTGAGGAGCTTCAACGAGTACAAGCAGGACTCATCCAGAAACAGCCTTCTTTGATCAATCGGAAGAAAGTGATATTTTTGCAGGATAACGCCAAGCCTCATACCGCAAAAGTGACCCGAGCAAAAATTTCTGAACTCGGCTGGGAAACGTTACGGCACCCGCCATATTCTCCCGAAATTTCGCTCAGTGATTATCACCTTTTTTTCTCTTGACAACTGTATGAGGCACCGACAGCTCACAACTCTAGAAGGTGCAATAAATGCAGTCCGCAAATTTTTTTACTCCAAATCCAAGGAGTTCTACAATACCGGCTTACAAAAATTGGTTCTACATTGGCAAAAGGTAATTGAATTTGATGGTAATTACTTCGACGAATAAATAGTGTCTTATTGTTTCTCAATAAAAAAATTTATTTTTCTACTAAAAACCGTACAAACTTATTTGGTTGCCTGATATAAGGGTCCTAGGTCGAACGGTTCGCTCAAAGTGAGAAAATATGAATTTTAGGGCTTTGGTAATTTTTCCATTGTTTCGCTACCTCTGCCCCTAGGCAGTACTAGGAACTATAGTATATGACAATTCCGAGGTAAAATCGTTCAAGGAACTCAAAAATGATGAAACTGCGATCTGATGATTCATTCGGCAGACATTTTAGTCAAGTTATTTTTTCGAAATTTTTTACAATTTACAATTTGAGTGTCTGCCGAAACGAACAATCCAAAAAGTTAGTTCTTCTTGACCCCCCCCCCCACAGGCTGCTAGAAAGTATTGTGAAAATTTTACAAAACAGGATATTGGATCATATATATCTTAAAGCAACATATTTTCTTGGGAGATGTCAATATAAATATTTGATGATGATCCCATCATAAATGAATACTTGAATATGCTATCAAGTAACGGATTTCTGTCCTATATAAACCTACCTAGAGGACCATCAGTGGCACATGTATAGATCACTGCTCTGTGAAAGACCTATCCAACAAAATTACTTGTATACCAATAATCCTAGAAAGCGATATTACTGACCACTTCTCCACTATCTTACTGATATCTTCAAATGAAAAATATTCTAACATCCCTACCGTTAATAACCACCAGGAAAATTACAAATTTTTTGTCGACAATTCAAAACTAATATCAAATGTCAAACAAGAATCCTGGGAACAATTATACTCTAAAAATAATATATACAAAGCAGCGGGACTGTTCATAGAGAAAATAAAAAAACTAATAGATATTAGTACCAATAAAGTAATAATAATTAGTCACAAAGAGAAAAGCAGAAATGCCTGGATTACCAAAGGATTAATAACATCGGCAATAGAAAAAGAAAGACTGTATAATGTAATGAAAGTAACGCCAACTACAGAGAATATCGACTGCTACAACCAATATCAAAATAAATTTATAGAGCTTGCAAGGCAAACCAAACGAAAACATTACCTAAATAAATTGAATAATAACTTAAATGATCCTAAGCAGCTTTGGACAACTATTGATGAGATTACTGGGAAAACAAAATTTAAAGAGTGTGTCACTGAGTTAAATTCAACATCGGGAACAGTATTAAAAAATACTCAACAAATATGCGATGAATTTGTACAATTTTTTACTGACATAGGCGAAAATTTGGCAAGTAATATACAAGCAGATGTACCCAATACTCAGCCTCCAAAAAGATCTTTGAACTCATTTATTTTGGATAAAGTCGAGCAATGTGAAGCATACACCACTGTTATGTCCTTAAAAAATCGAAAAAGTCGTGGGTTCGATGGAATTAAAAGCGAGCATTTGAAAATTATAGCCGAAGACATAACAGAACCACTCACTTACCTAATCAACAAACGCTGTGAATCTGGCATATATCTCTCAATTTTAAATAAAGTAATACCGATACATGAATCAGGAACAAAAACAGATGTTAACAACTATAGACCAATATCAATAATATCCAGTATAGCAAAGGTTTTTGGAAAAGTTTTATCTACTAGAATGATTCGATACCTCACAAAATTCAAAATTTTAAGTGAAAATCAATATGGGATTCACAGAAGGGAAGGCTACATCGGACGCAATAACTAAAATTGTAAATCAAATACATCAAAATATTGATAACAGAATCACTTCAATCTGCATTTTTGTTGATTTAAAGAAAGCTTTCGACACAGTTAATCACAAATTATTATTAGAAGCATTGGAGAGAATTGGTTTCAGAGGAAACACGTACTCACTGATCGAAAATTATTTGTCAAATCGCCCACAATCTGTGCAGATATCAAGATCGTTTAGTAAAGAAATGTATAATAAGTGTGGTGTCCCACAAGGAACTGTCTTAGGTCCGCTATTATTCAATATATATTTAAATGATATTTACCAAATTAATTGTGTTGGCAAAATAACCAGTTTGGCAGATGATACTGCAATATTGTATGAAGGCACTGACTGGTCTGATCTGAAAAATGTAATTGAAAATGATTTTATCAAAATTATTCGGTGGTTTAACAGTAGAAATTAAGCATTAACTATTCTAAAACACATTGTTTACCATTTGGATCTTATGCTAGACATCTGCCAAATTACACAAAATTTTCCTTTAACATTAATGATCAAAAAATGCAAATTAATAGAGTGCCCAACATAAAATACCTTGGAGTGGTCTTGGATCCTTACTTACGATGGCACATCCATGTCAATTATATTTTAAAGAAAGTTAGATTTGTATCCTACAAAATTAAATACCTTGGGAATATATTGACAGAAAAATATCTTCGAACATTATACCATGCACTGATTGAGCCTCATCTCACATATGGTATATTAGCATGGGGAGCTGCATGTTCCTCACATATCTATAATTTAGATGTTTTTCAAAAATGTATTCTAAAAATGATATTTAAAAAACCGAAACTTTATCCCACTGACAAATTATACGCAGATGTTCGGATGTATGATATAAGACAACTTTATTTCTCACACAGTATCACTCACTACCATAAATTTGTAAACATCGACCAAAAAATTAAACATAATCATTATACAAGGTACAAAATTCGTGGCACAGTAGTTCCTCAGCCGCATAAATCTATAATGCAGCGGTCATATTTATTTAGCGCCAAAATTTTATGAAATTATACCTATAGACTTAAAAGATTTACGTTTCGGAAATTGTTTCAAAACAAATTTAAAAAAGTGGCTACATTCTATATCTAGGACTGAAATTCATAAACTCATAAATACGAACATCAAGTAAATACATCCACTGCAGCTAATTTTGTCATTTGCATTCTACAGTTGCAACTTAAAATTATTGGTCCTTGTACAGGCGATGCCTTCTATTGGGCCTGTTTTTGATTTTATATTTATTTACTCATATTGTTTGTTATCTTTGTACATTGAGTGAATAAATATTATTATTATTATTATTATTATTATCATTACACTAAAAACTATGTCACTGCACATCCGTTGTTCAATTCTCTCAACTGGATCTAGCTACCGAGATATCCTTACCTAAAGGTGCAAAAATAGCGATTTTTGCCTTTATTTAAAATTATGTAGCATGGAAAATTATTTTCTCTTTCCAAAAACCACAGACATCATCTCAAAATACAAGCCTTATCGTTCGCTGAGACATGGCACTTTCATTTTTCTGAATTTCACTATACTCAATATAGTTATCATTATTTGTACATCAAAGTTGTGGTTTGGATTATAGTACCCCACAAAGTTAATAGCGAGTCAATGTATTTTTATGAAATAAGGCCTGCCGACTAAAGGCCCATAAATCCCAGCCCCGGCACACAAATTTTAAGATCCTCCACTGACATGATAAAAGCCGGCAAATTACTAGGCTGACTCATTTAAAAAATCTATGTCGAGCGTAAATCCGTCATACAGTGAGCTGTAGATTAAATCGATATACACATAAAAGCATGCTCTCAAAACTCCACGCACGTCTTCAGGCCCGTCCGTCTCTTAGAATTATAGCACTCAAAGCCAACTTGTGGTGCTTCAATGGTCTACTTTGCCCTTAAAAACCCCAAACAGTTAGAAAGACGTCCATCTATATAAGTAAGGAGAAATTGTCGGAAGCAGAAAGTTTATTTGTATGAAGAATGTAAATCTGACATTGGCATCATAAAAGACCAGGCTTACCGGATCGGTGAGTTAGGACAACCGTGACAAGGGCGGATTTGGGGGGTGCCCCAAGACTTCCAAGTCGGCTTTTTTTTCAAGAAAATAATATAAAGATATTTCTGTATCGAGGTGTGAGAATTGCGCCTCCACCCTGCTCTTCATTTGTCACAACGGAATTTGCTTTCAGAAGCATGAAGTCACCCATCTCCCGCTCTTCAATTTTCATTCATTCGCCGCGACTCCCCTCCCCGAGACAAACAACTTCATCTAAACATGAATGCTGCGATAACCACCGTGCGCCCTTTAGACGGATTCCTAAATTCGTCCTTGAACCGAGCAGTGCTTTTCGAGGCTTTTATATATTAAGATAAAACACATTTTATGATGTGTACATTGTTGATGTGTTTTGTTAGGTTTTCACTTATCCTTCTTTGTCTTGAAATTGGACTTGACAGGTTCGCGTGCCTATGGCGAGATCATCTGGATATACCTAAAGCAGACATTAAATGTTTCTATGACGAACAATTGGATACTTGGAGCATTCAGAGGATATCTATATAATAAATACATAACAGTACTAGTAAAATCAACATTCATGGGTATAGGCGGGCAACTGGATATATGTCCACCCAGTGAATATCCTGGGTATCCATCGGGGATATCTAATAGACAACCAATGGATGTATGTGAACTCTCTAGGAAGACTTCGCCAAATCATCTGATGAGTATATTTT